CAGAGAAAGAATTGATATATAAGTGTGTATAGAATGATTTTACATATATGTGTAGATGCATATTTGTGTCTAGTGGTAGCCATCTCTAGGGTGAGAGGGAAGGAAGAAAAAGAAATTTGCACGATAACTTTTTGATATAATTAAAAGGAATAGCAAGTTGTACATAAAAGAGTTGCAGTTTCATGTGCAAGCATCTTTTTTTTATTTTGTGTTATGGAAATGCTTGTTTTATTTTGTAAATTAAAAATGAAAAAAGAAAAATAATACTTTGGGTTATTAGAGGGAATTTAAAAGGGATAAAGGTAATGAAATGAAATTATTTCTGCTTTTTAGAAAGAGACCTCTTGTGTCAGTCACATTGGTATAGTAACAATGATGATGAGAATGATAGTTAGCATTTATTTAGCATTTTAAGCTTTGGAAAATGCCTGACGAACATTACCTCATTTTCACAACATGTAGGTGTGTAGGTGCTATTATTAGGTCTCCGTTTTTACATATGATGAAACTGAGGCAAACAAATTGTTAAGTGACTTGACCAGGATCACATAGCTATTAAGTATCTGAGGACGGGTTTGGACTCAGATCCTTCTGACTGCAGGTCCAACACCTAGCTTTCAATAGAAGATCCCAGGTTTGTTTTACATTTCTAGCGTTCACCTAACAGTCGAGGCGATGGAGGCGGGATTCAGAGTCAGAGGGCTGACCTGAGTTCAGATTCCGGCTTTGCTATTCATGACTTGGCTTCAGTTTCTCTATCTGTGGAATGGAGTTAACACTAGATGATCTTTCCAACTCAAAATCTCTGGTCTTGTGATTTCTTTGCTATATAATCAAAATGTTTGTTTCTTGTCATGAAAAGTGGTTAAATTGAGTACACATCCTAAAAACAGACAGAGGGCTACATCACATGACTTGGGGGGAGGAGAGGCTGCTGTGCTTTGACCATCAGTTTTATTAGAGTGCTGCATTTTCCTTTAAAATTCTTGTCACCTTGACCTTTCAGAGAATTCTCTGACCTGGATCCTCTGTTTCCTCAAGTCTGATCCAGTCACAACCTCCTTTGTAACCCTCTCTCTGAACATATTTTTCCTCATTTGACACTGCTGTAACTTTTGGCTACAGTAGTGAAAAGAAGGGTGGGTCCTTGGGTGGGGCATTAATCCCCACCCTTGCTGTGCAGCCTTATTCTATCCATCTGTCTTCACACACTAAATCTTGCCTCTAAAAACCATATACAAGCAGCAGGCAATATGACCGTGACACAAGGAGGTTAAAGACTGGAAAAAAAAAGTCCCACATGTAACTAAATATTTAAAACATTAAAAAATATTTAAATGTTTGTGGTAGGAAAGCCGAGCTGCAGAGTGGTGGGTATGCATGGATTAGAAACGACGCACAGGACCAGGAGAGCATTGTTACTGTGTACAGTAACAGCAGTATTGTAAGGCTGATAAACTGTAAAAGACTTAGCTACTCTGATCAACACAGTGATCTAAGACAGTTCCAAAGGACCCATGATGAAAAATGCTGTCTACCTCCAGAAAAAGAACTGATGAACTCTGAGTGCAGATTGAAGCAAACTTTTTTTTACTTTAATTTTGCTCTGTCGTGTGTGTTTTCCTTTGCACCATGGCTAATAGGGAAATATGTTTTACATGACAGACATGTATTATCAGTATCAAAAATTGCTTGCCTTAAAGAGGGGAGACAGGTGGAAGGGAGGGTGAGAATTTAGAACTCAAAATTTGCAAAAATGTAGTTGGGAAATATTTCATGAAATAAAAATTTATTTTTTGAAAAAAGAGAGTGCACAAATCGTGGCATGTGAATCTAATGGAATGTTGCTGCCCCAGAAGAAATGATACACATGAGGAATTCAGAGATATGTGGGAAGACTTGTGTGAATGGATGCAGAGTGATATAAACAGTATCAAGAAAAAATTTTACAGAATGATTACAAGACCGCGAATGAATGTTCTGTCAGACATGATGTAATTCTAATCACCAGTCTTGGCCCACAGAAAAGAAAGAATGAGATACATGTGTGGTGCATTGACAAGGTGGCTGGATTTGGAATACGAGTACTTAGGTTTGAATCCCAGCTCTGCTAGTTATTACCGTGTGGCCTCTCTCCTCATTTGTAAAAAATGGGGGCTTAGATAAATGATCTCTTAAGTTTTCTTCCATCTCTGATCTTATGATTCTCCAAGAAGGAGAGGTAGCAGACGATGGGTGCAGAAAACGTGCTCTCAGACATGGTTAATGGGATCCTTGGTTTTTACTTACCTGTCTTTCTTGGTCACCAGAAAAAGGTTCACTGAGCAGGTGGGTAGGGGGTATATTCAGAAATTACAGTGGTGTCAGAATATAAGGCTTTGATAGAACTTTAATTTTTAAAAAAGGAAACACCCCTTTTTAAGTGGTCAGGGAGCTGATATTGCAGAAATTATTGTTGTACTTGGCCTGAGGCTGTTAATTTTTGTTTCCAGGATGTTGGGGGGGAAGGCAGGAGCTGTGCATTTTCTCATTCCTTGCCTTCTCATGTAGTTTGCTATCAGCCTGTCGAGCCAGTAATTGGAAACATTTCCGTGCAACATACAAAATTCCTCAAAGGACAAGGGAATTTAGGGAGTCAGGAATTACAAGCATGGGGCCTTATTTCTAATGCCATGCAGTCCGGAAATCATTTTCATAAATTGAGAATATAACTTCTAAGACTAACCTTCAAAATACTGTATACACATTCAGATACTGAGCTGTTAGATTTATCCATTTATGCCAGATGTTGAATGTAGATATCTGAGATGGGGAAGGGGAGGGGGAGAAAGAAGAGGCAAAACTGTTCACAAAACATTAATTGGGCATGTACCATGTGTTCTGTGCTAGGTACTGGGGAATACCAAAATGGGAAAATAACATTCACTGTCCATGGGATTTAGGGTCTACGGAAGGAAGGAGATATACAGTATGTACACAAATTAGTATAATACAGGATTAGTGTACAGTGGGTCAGTGGAGAGAGGGGGGAGATTTAGTGATGGGGAGGGGGGCCCTTTATGGAGGAGGTAGTTCCTAAACTGAGTATTGCTGAAGAAGCAGAAGGAAAAAGAGAGTTGTGAACCTTCTAGCTGGCTGATCTCATCGTAGCTACCAGGTTGGAAAGAAGAGACACAGGGCAAACTTACTCTCTAGAGTAAGGAGATTGGAGGGCTAAGATCAAAGCTTTTCTCATGGGTCCTCTGAGAGATTCGAGAGAAGTCTTATTTGGGGTAGATGTTCGAGAGGAAGAAGGACAAAAGGAATGTGGTAGGTGAAAGGAAACTGAGTGCTATTTTATTATTAAGAAGGTAGACTAATGTGAAGAAATTATGGTGGGATGCGTTTGGTTGAAGATTTTATAGAGAAGTTACAGAAGTGATGTTGTTATCACAGTATACTATAGACCACTTGTACAGAAGGAGGAAATAGATGAGGTAGTTAAATGCAAGGTAGTTAGGGATGGGGAGAGCTTCAGTAGTTGGGGGGGGGGGAGGAATTGGAAAAGGCATTATGTAGAAGGCACCCAAGTTATGTTTTGAAGGGACTGTGAAGGATTCTGAGATGGAGCTAAGAAGGGCATACATTTTTGTTATGGGGAATGACCACGTGCAAAGTCATGGAGGTGGTAGGTGAAGTGCCATGGGAGGAAGAGCAAGAAAACCAGTGTAATGGTGGAGTTAATGTATGATAAAGCGGGAAGAGACGTTTGGGAAACAGATTAAAAACCCTGCATGGGAGCTGTATGAGTGATCAAGACATTTACCAGAGCCCTTGCACTATCAAAAACAAAGTAATCTAATTTCTTGACTTACCCCAATGATAATTCCTTTGTGCAAAAGCTGGACAGTTTCTATTGTGGATCTGATTCTCATCAGTAAGGAGGAACTGGTTACTGGCATGTGCAAATGATGGGAATTTTATAGGGAAGCAGCCTCTCTATCTTAGAATTCACGAGAGAGGAAATTTGGGTAGAAATTTGGCACATACTTGTCGATTCTGGGAGAGAAACTTCAGAGGGTTCAGTGATAGGTAGGATTCCGTGGCCTAACATTCTGAAGGTAAGGTCAGCCTAGAAGGAACACAGCATCATAAATTTTAGAGAGGCCATTGAATCCAAGGCTTTCATTTTACAAATGAGGAAACTGAGACCCAGTGAGGTTGGGGTTTGCCTGTTATCAAATAGCTAGAAAATGTCATAGTAGCAGTTCAGCCTAGGTCTTCTGCTTCCAAATCTGTGACTCTTTCCACAGATTTTTTTTTTTTAATTGCAGGGATCTTATCCTGAAAACTCTGGCTAGGCTTAGTGTATAGACAGAATGAAACCTATATGTAAGTGTTGTGAGGAGGGAAGGGAGGATGGTAGATATACACTGATGGCTTCCATCATTGCCTTGAGACCAAACTACACTCTTTTTAAAGGTTTTTTTTCTATTGTTTCTCCAGTAGAGACATTATCGTACTTGCTGTGTGCCAGACGCTATGCAGGGCACTTTACAATTATTATTCCGCTTGATCTTCGTGATAACCCTGCAACGGAGGAGGTCCTAGTAATATTCCCATTTTTAGAGAGGAGGAAGCTGAGGCAGACTGTTTGTTGAGCGTTAGTTTGTATTATCGCTGTTTGTTCATTTGTCTTACCTGCTAATAAACTAGAAAGTCCATGAGGGTGAGGCTGTCTTATCTAAACTTTGTATTTCCTCCAGCTGCTGGGGCAAGCTTTGCGCATAGTAGATACTTAATAAATACTGGTTGATTTGAATTTAAGTGGACTACCTTTCCTTTGCCGTGCCACACCTCAAACACTGATTTCTAGAGGACTTATCTGTTTGATAAACCACTTTTCAGGATTTGACACTGGGTGCTAGAGCAGTCTCCAGAAGGAAGTGTAGAACAGTGAGTGAGTGACAGCCTTTTCGGCCTCTAATGCTCCAGTAACTCTTGTTTTCCTTCCTTTCTAGAGTGACCGTCTTCTTATTAAAGGGGGCAGAATAGTCAATGATGACCAGTCCTTTTACGCGGACATCTACATGGAAGATGGTCTAATAAAGTATGTATGGTGTTCTTTGTCTTCTTGCTTAAGCACTCACCTTTCTGCTGACACTTAGCATGTATCATTTGGTATTATAGCTGTGGATTTGTGGATGGGGCAGAGACACTGTAGCTAAAGGGTGGGGAGGGTTATATTTGCAAAAGACAAGGGGGCACCCCTATCCTAGAGATCAAGAAGAGGTAAGTTTCCTTCAAAACCCTTTGGTGTTTCATTTTTGTCATGTTGTGTGTGTGTGTGTGTGTGTGTGTGTGTGTGTGTGTGTGTGTGTGTGTATCCATCTTTAATTCTGAATCCTGAAATTTTATTCTGAATTCCAGTCCCACATTTCCAGCAGCTTCCTGGCTGTTAAAACAATAGCCATCTTAAGCTCAGCATGTCCAAAACTGAACTTATCTCTTCCAGCCTCCTCCTCTCCCTCTCCTTTCTAATCTCCCTGTTTCCGTGGATTGTAATACCATCCTCCTATGAACCCAAGTTTGTAACTTTGGGGTCATTCTTGACTCTTCCTTCTTTATTACCCTCTAAACTCAATCAGTTGCCAAGCTCTGTTTTCCTGAAATTATTTAATATAAATTATTCTTTTTTAAAAAATTAATTTAATGATTTAATATTATTTTTACTACTTATTTATGGATTTTACCTTCCTGCTAGATTATAGATGCCACATGGGGAGGAATAGTTCTCTCATTTTCATATTTCCTCCAGTTGTGTATAATGTACTGGGTACAATGGTTACTTAATAAATGTATGTTGAGTGGAATTAAGCTGGATTTAGGTTTCCCTGCCAAGTCACACCTCAAACGCTGACTTTTAGAGCGTATAGTCTGATTTTTTCCCATACAGGACAGGGTGCTGTCTCATGCTTCTTGGCCTCTTTGCTGCATTTGACACTGTTGACCGCTCTCTCCTGTGTGGGTTTTTGTGACCTTGTTTTTTTCCTGGTTCTCCTGCCTGTCTAAATGCTCCTTTCTCAGTTTCCTTTGTGCATCCCTATCTCACCACGTATGGGTATATACCAAGAGTCTGTCCTGAGCACTCTCCTTACTTTAGAAACTGATTTCATCAACTCGCATGGGTTTAATTATTTCTACACAGGTGACTCACAGATTTATATATCTAGATGTAGTCTGTCTCCTGAGTACCAAGCCTGCATCATCTGTTGGACATTTTAAACTAGATATCCCCAAAGTACCTCAAACTCAACATCTTTCCTACCAAACCCTCCCCTTTACTTAACTTCCTCATTTCTTTCTTTTTTCTTTTCCTTTTTTTTTGTATGAGGCAATTGGGGTTAAGTAACTTGCCCAGGGTCACATAGGTAGTGAGTGTTGTGTTGTCTGAGGCCGGATTTGAACCCAAGTCCCCCTGACTCCAGGGCTGGTGCTCTATCCACCGTGCCACCTAGCTGCCCCATATTGCCCGTTTCTTTCAAGGGCATCATCGTTACTCCACTTTCCCACCTTCGTAACCTCAGCATTATCTTTGATTCCTCACTCTCCCTTCAGTAGCTCTCTCCTTGATTAGTGTAGTAATCTTCTAATTGGCTTCTCTATTTCCGTTCTTTCTTCTCTAACCATCCTTCACCCACCGTTAGCCATTTTCCTAAGGTACAAATTTTAGCTTATCATTCCCCAGCTTAGAAAGCTTCATTCATAGAGGAAGCTAGATGGCACAATGAATAGAGCGCTGGGCTTACAGTCAGGAAGGCCTGAGTTCAAATGTGAGCTAGTGAGTCTCCTAACCTCTGTTTGCCTCAGTTTCCTCAGCTGTGATAATAGCACCCATCATTTGGGGTTGTTGTGAGGATTAAATGAGATAATATTTGTAAAGTACCTAACACAGTAGCTGGCATATAGTAAGCAGTTGTTTCCTCCCTTCTTCTCTCCCTCCATTGGCTTCCCATTGCCTTTAAGATCGGAAACTGATTCTTTAGCTTGGCATTCAAGGTCCTTCATATTTTGTCTTTCCCCAGCCGACTAAGCAAAGTGATACTGAGGGTATTCCAGGATATAATTGGAAAGATAACATTAAACAGAAGGAAAATGGCAAAATTTTATGACATATATACACGTCATACGTACATATATATACACATACATACATACATATATATATATATATATATATGAATATAATGCAAAAATGTATATATTAACTGTTACGAATAGTAGAACTACCATACCCGAACTCTTAACGTCGCGGTCCCAGATGTGTTTATAGAAAAGGCAGAAATAATGCTAACAAAGAGTGAAAAGGGGAAAAGTGGCTGGATTAGATTCAATGTGGATATATTGAGGGATCGATTCATAAGGTATCTAAAGGAGAGGAAGACACCAAATAAATAGAAAAGATCCTGGACCTTATTAATACCTCCCCAAAAAGTATCCAAGAAAATACTAATAATCATCCATCTTTGATGAGGGTTTTGGTAGGGAACAGACAGGTTCTATAAGCAATAGTCCTTGCTAGATCATATCTTGGCCATCGCACAATTGACTGAAAGCTGTAGTGAATACAACATTTGATTATTATTAATCAATGATGTATAAATGGTTGGATTTGGTAGGACAAAATACCACCTTATGGGCTCTCTTCCAGCAGTGTCTCCTCTCCATACATAACAGTCATCTATGGTTTCTTAAAAGATCTAACAACAGAGATAACCTTGTTCCACAGCTCTGATTGTAATAATCAGGAGAGGCACAAAACCGGGAGCTGTAAATTCATCAGATGTTTCTGTCTCTGTGTACAGCCTTTGAATGGTTTTTATGCTTTTAGATATAATAAAACTTTCTTTGAAAACATAAATAAATAAATATAAAAACCATTCTTAGCACTTGGACCTTACAAAAACAGGCGGGGTGGATTTGGCCTGCCCTGTGTGACTCTGGTTTATGGATGATATTCTACTAGTTGCATCAAGCCCCAGAACATCGCAGAACTTCCTGGATGAGTTTCATAATCACACAAAAAAGTTTGGCCTGACCATCTAAATAGGAAAAACCAAGTGGATGAAAAAGCCAGTTTTCCAGATTATGGCATGCAGCTGGGGTTGGGTGACTTCTGGTATGTACATCTGGGATTTTGTACAAATGGAATTTAGACTTGCTTGGAGCTTAACAGTCCAACAGGGAGAAACATGGACACATACATAAAGCCTAATCACTAAATGAATGGTAAAAACAGTAAGAGTTGTTAGATGTTGTAGAATCATAATATTTAGAGCTCGAAACGGCCTTAGAAGTCATCAAGGCCAGCCTTCTCATTTTTCAGATGAGGAAACAGAGGCCCAGAGAGTGATGTGCTTGGGTTCACACAGATAGTAAGTGTTGGAGACACTTCCTAATCCAAGTTCGTTGCTCTGTCTACCACACTGTTGGTTTTTTCAGAGGAAGGAGAACTCCCAGTGGATAGAGCAGTGGGAAAGCTTCAGAGAGGAGGTAGAATTTGAGTAGGACCTTGACAAATTGGTAGTGTTATGACTAACGCGGTGGGGTGGAGGGCAGTAATGTCCATGGCAAGAATGTTAGGAGATAATTATTCATTTAATAGAATGACTCATCCTGGGAGTTTTTGATAGAGTGATCCACTGTCCAAATACAACCCAGTCATTATTTGATGAAGTTGGAAATGATAGCGCTGATGCATAGCCCATTAGGAATAAGATGAGGTTTGCTGACCCTCAGTAGAAAGAAGTATGCTCATCACATCATCTCTGGGGCCAGACATCTACTACGTCAGCAAGCTGTGTCCGAGGTGCACCCACCTGCTACGACTGCTGCCCCTTTCTAGCTTTCCTGGTTTTAGTTTCCTCAGCTTTCAAGCAGATCAGGTGTCAGAGGGAGGCTAGTTACTGTGAGCTGAGGTAAAGGGAAAGTCACATTTGTAAGAAATATGGAGGAAAATCCGCAGGAGCACAGTGTAGAGCAGAAAGGGACCGCAGAGGCCATCTAGTTCAACATTTTACAATAAAAGAAACTGAGGTCCAGAGAGGTCACAGATATCCTTCAGCTGCAAACCCAACACTGTCCCTGGTTAAAAAGTCAGCCTCAGAATGGCTGCCTTATGACTATTTTGAGATTTTTTTTTCTTATAGGGCCTAACCCTTTAATATAGGTATGGCACATGCTGTGGTTATGGGCTTCTTATGAGGACCAGGTTGGCAAATTCCCATCTTGTCAGCTGTAGCGATATGCCAAGCCTATTCTGAAAGATATCCTTAGGAAACTGAACGATGTTTTTGGGAGAGGATGGGAACTGATGCCTTCGAAGTTTGGCATTTGTAAAAGAGATTTTGTATGTCTGTGAACTTGACAATTCGTTTAAACCTTTCCACAGTGAGGGAAAGAAAAATTTTGTGTGTGACTGTGAGCTTAAGAAAATTTGTCTAAAGCTTCCCACAGAGCACTCAGGCTTTGTGACATTGCCTTTAGAACATCATGTTCACCCTAATCCCATTTTATCAGAGAAGAAGGAAAGCATGTTTAGGGGCCTCCTATCTCAGATGGTCAAGAGCAAGCTGTTTTTCTTCTACACCAAGGCCAGAGTTAGATGTAATGGGTTCAGATTGCTATGTGAGGGAGTTTAGGTTAGCTATAGAGGACTTGGTAACAAAGGATGGTTTCAGATACTGAAGTCTATTACAGAGGGAAATGATAAAATGCTTCTTATGATCTGGATTCTCATTGGTCCAGGATGAGCCTTGTGCTATTGAAAGGCAGAAGATTAAGAACTAAATTACTTTCAAGACATCCTAATGCAGCCTTTTTTGGACTTAAGATACTTTTACAGAAGTTATACCAGCTAAATGATGCTAAAAGTGATATATTTTTATTATAAGAATACCAGTTGAAAAAAAAAGCAACCACCGCCACTAGAATAATTTCTTTTGGAACAAGCTGGAAGTAGTTAAATCTTTTTTGCATTTAGAAAAATCATTCCTGAAATCTAAGAGCAGCTCAGAACTGAGTTCTTCAGATCAGTGGAATGAATGATCA